AAGGACAATGGATGGACTGATAGATGAACATATGAATTGACGGACGGATGGACAGTTGGATGAATAGATGAACATATGGATGAATGGATAGGTGGACGGGTGGACAGACAGATGGATGGACAGATTGATGAAAATATGAATTGACGGACGGAGGTACAGTTGGATGAATAGATGGACAGATGGATTAATGGATAAATGGACGGGTGGACGGTTAGATGGATGGACGGATTTATGATAATATGAATTGACGAGTGGATGAACAGTTGGATGAATAGATGGACAGGTGAATGAATGGATATGTGAACGGGTGGACGGACAGATGGATGGACGGATTTATGATGATATGAATTGACGGGTGGATGAATAGTTGGATGAATAGATGGACAGATGGATCAATAGATAAATGGACGGGTGGACGGATAGATGGATGGACGGATTGATGAGCATATGAATTGACGGCCTTTGGGTCTTGAAGGGTCTTGGCTGTGTTGGAAGATGAAACGGATCTGGCGTATGTTGACGCTGGAAGCCCACCGACGCCAGAACCATCTGCGTCTGGACTGTGGCTTGACGCTGCTTTTGCAGGTTCATTGCGCCTCGAGGCAGGCAAGTGAACAGCTCTTTTTGGCTGTTGCGGCCTCTGCCAAGGACTGCGCTTTGTGGAAAGGAGTCGTCGACAGTTGAACAGTGTCTTGAGGTCGTGGTGAATGCTGGTTCGTTGGTGAGTGCACAGGCGGTTGGCAATTTCATCGGAAGTACGTCCATTGCCTTTAATTGGCGTCGGTTACCTTTTGGCCTCATTCAGAGCGATCCGTGTTTTGGCTTGTCTTCGCAATTTGATCAGCGCAACAGCAATTTGGCATTTTAGTTCAGCTTTTTCGCTTCGTTCTTTTTGCTCCATTTCGGAAAAGTATACTCTTGCGCTGATGATGTCTGTGGCAGTACAGACGACAGCTCAGCACAGTTTCATCGGGGTTGCAGGGCGGTGAGTCGAGGACTTCTCTTGGCGGCAATCCTCTTTCGGTTTCCGGTGCCACCACATTGTCAATTCCTTCCTACCAACTTTGGCTTTGAAATGGACAGTCAAGTTACAGCTTAACTTTGTCTCGGTTGGTTTCGTCTCGTTTTTCACGACTTGCCTTTATTTCATTGAAGGAGCGACTTTCACTTCTTATCAAAGTTCATAAAGAAGGGATTTAAGGATCAATCTCACCGAGAGACGACGAACGATTTGTGTTGTAAGAGTGCCGTTTAGATTTCATACCACGTTCAGAATGATCCAATCGACTAGACCTCCTCTCTCGTTTCGGGTGAAAACCCTCATTTAATGCGTGGCATCAGGGTTTAAGTCATTAATGAGATGTATTCACCCTATTTCGTGAAAGGTGATGAAGGACTGGTAGTCGA